TAGAGTGCAATTCTCACCTTTGGAGCCATGAATCAACACTTGTTTTCAACGGACCCAATGTTGCAAAATAGTTTGTCCAGCAACCATGTCAAAAACCAAGTCAAACTGATACCGAAAAGCTACTCGTGATAAACGAAAAGCTAAATGAATTTAGACTACAAAAGCTACCAACAAGAAGTGGGGTTTATCATCTACCAGTACACAAAAAAGGGTTTGGACAATTCAACCTAAGGGACATAGCAACAACCAAATCGAAGTGATACTATTGCCAGTGACGCCTGCACGAAATAATTAAATGAATTAGTTGTAGTTTAGAGTTTCAACCCACTCCGAAACAAACCCAAAACATAGAAAACGAAAATGGGGTGACATGCTGGTAATTTTCTCCTCCTTTCCGCTTTGAAATTTTGATCCACAAAGGAAGCACACGAGCAAAAGAACAAGGCAGCTAAAAAACAAAGGCTTTTGTGACCTGCATAAAAGAAGAAACTGTGATTTAGGAGGAAAAGAGGATAAATTGGAGCAATTCAAAAGACTTTGAACTCCACCAATCTTACTCATCTTCGTTTGGAATTCAACAGCTAATAAACCCAAAAGGAATTTTAAAAAAAAACATTGCCAAATCGACGTGGAGTTCAAATATATCGACATCGCTGTTTAGAGGAATGAATATTGGAGCATGGAAGATTTTTGATTGGGTTTTTGAACTGTGCGTTTCATGTGGGACTTGGAGTCCCACTTTCTACTTAAGGAAAAGACAAAGTCCCATTTTCACTTTGAACCGTGCATCTTACGTGGGTTTCTACTTAAGGAAAAAATGAAGTCCTATTTCACAAAGACCTATTCGATATTACCAAAGGTCATATATGAGTTTTAAATAAATCCAATTGACTACTCATTTTGCCAAGTCTGAACACAAGTACGCAAATCCAAGGCTAGCATATCATGAATTACGTCGGTTGTATTCCGATAAAGATACAGAGGAAGTCTGATATCAAATTTTAGACGCAATCGTGAAACCGGAACGAATCCCTGGTTTATATAAACTAAATTCACTTCTACTACTTTGACCAAGTAATGACAAATTCTACAAAGAGTAAAAGAGAAGTCTGCAAAGCACAATTCCTAGATTTCCATTTAATGGATGTCGCTCACACAACAAAATTTCTAATTTATAGGGAATGTTGCTCATGTGAAGAATTGGAATAAAGATCTCCAGCAAGCAATTAAGTAGGTGAAGAGACAAAATTTGTCATGACTTTAGTTGAAGGTTGGTTTGATCCCACAAGGACAAACCCACGCAACCTATGGCTTGAATTAATTCATGAGCATGATTGAATTAATGCTTGTCTTCAAAATCTTTGGATGGTCATTGTTAGGCCAAGATCAAATCAAGACACAGAGCAAAGTGGAGGACAAAAGCAATACAAATATAGACAACTCCGAACCACTTCAATACTATGGATGTGAACCATCTCAAAGTACAAAATTTGATAGACTCACCACTTCAAGTTGGTGAAACTCACACCATGGATCATATTCCCTTTAATTACCAAAGTGGTCAAATGGCACAAAGCCGTATCAAATTTCAAATGGCATAAAGCCATATCAAATTTATAATCGCTCCCAAGGTTTTAAAAAACGCTAGGCGCTAGTCGGGCGATGGGTTAGCGCCTAGTGCCTAGGTGGCTAGACAGGGTCTAGGCGGATTTAGGTAAATTTATGATATATTATATAAATTAATTAAATTTACTATATAAAATGTAAATAATTATTGACTAATATGCTATTTCTTATATAAGAACATACATATATGAAAGTTTTATGTACATATATGAAATGCTTGCCTAGGAAAAAAAAACAAAATATTATCTAAATAATTTATAATTTATATAAGATATATATATACACACATAATATATATCCCAAACTTTTAAAAATATAAAAAACCCACATAGTGGGTGGTTTTCATTGTTAAACCATCAAACCGTCCATCACCCATCCACCCAAGGTGGTTTTCACATCACCCATCCGCAAAACTATCAAAGTCCATGGTTTTCAATTTTAAAATCACAAACCGTCCATGCTCTTTCACATCACCCAAGCTTTTAGTCCTCAACTTGCACCACCAACACAGAAATGTTAGTCTCTCTCTCTTTCTCTTTTCGCATTTTCTCTTCGCACTTTCTTCTCTGCTCTCATCTTCACAGATGAGTTGCAGAAATTATGAAATTATCTTCACCGACAGTCTCTCTCTCTCTCTCTTCGCACTCTCTCTTTCCTCATATTCACAGATACGAGCTACATAAAATTTTCCGGGTCTCTGTTGCTACGTAAGAGATCGGAAGTTGTAGATCTTTGCGAAAATTGCAGCAAGTTTGGAATTTGCAGCTAGATTCAAACCGCCTAGACTACCGCCTAGCGCCGCCTAGCCCGCCTCAGGCGCCTAGTGAGCGCATAGGCGGCCGCCTATATCCTCCTCGCCTAACTGAATGTTTTGGTCTAAATCGGGTCGGAGCTCCACCGCCCAGCGCCTAGGCAGATTTTTAGAACACTGATCGCTCCAATGGCTTAAAGTCTTCACTCGTATGAGCTAAAATTGCACAAGGTATTAAACGCTCCAACAGCTTAAAGTCCTCGCTCGCACGAATTAAAACTACACAAGGCATCAATCGCTCCAATGGTTCAAAGTCCTCGCCTGCACGTGCTAAAATTGCACAAGGCATCAAATCCAAACAAGTACCAAATACCAAGGAACTACGAGTGACTTGATCCCTCAACGAGGGTACATAGGCAATCTAGGGCTCTACTTAGGTGCAGTCACAAAATCAAATAAACACCCAAATCCCCAAGTTACGATTTATTCATATTAGAATCAAAGGGTATTCCTTTCCCAAAAGAAAGGTTGTAATTAATAGGCACGTAGCCTAGAATGGGTCGAACTCAAATTAATAAAACCCTCTTCGACAAAATGAACGAGGGTGAAATTATGTCGAGTAAATTATTTTTTTACATATTGTGTACAATTTTTGCTCAACAGTAGCCTCTTAGGGTTATGTAGTCGTTTCGACATTTTCGTTTGTTTAATAATATCCCTATTAGTTTGTTATCGTGCACTCTGATATTCAATTTGGTATCAATCAATTTGTATGTCTCGTCCGTTTGTTTGTTGTTCTGTTCTCATTTGTCGTTGGCTTAGGTTGCAGAAAAAGTAAAGAAAAGCGTGTAGAAAAAGAATTTGTTTGACGACGGTTTTAATGAAGCTCTGACTCGAGAATCACAAACTCGGATCAAGTTCGTCTCTACCTTAGGCTTTTATGTTGAACCCAACTTGCAAGAACCCACCATGCTAGTACCCGCCGCCACATTTGACTAAATCCGAACCGCCCGATCCATCGACCATTGCTGAGAAACCCATCCAAGCCTACCGCTGCTGTCCATCGTGCCCAGTCACCGCATTGTACCAAATCCAGATTGTCCACCAACCTGCACCCATTTCCATCTCCATGGATTACACCATTGCTGCTTCTATATTAGAGAAAGAAAAAAAAAGAAAAAAAGTAGGAAAAAAATTGTTGGAGGTTTTGGCCTACATGGGCAAAGAGGAAAAATGGGTTGGAGGCTGTTTACCGCCCATTTTTTGGTTTGATGTGTTTAAGGCCCACACGAGTTGTTGGCTTGTTTGAGATTGTTTTGTGACTATTACTCGAGTGCTTGGAATTGTGACCACTCGAGTGATAGTGTTTGTGTTTTGTTTGTTCGTTGCTATAATTGAGATATGGAAATCTCGTCCATTTAGAGACGGGTTCTTTACATACTCTCAACACTAGTCAGTTTGAATCAGAATCAGTTTGTTAGCCAGAATTAGCTTGCCAACAAGAACCAGTTCTCCAGTTCGCCAGTCAAGTCGAGTCAAGTTTGCATGCCTGACAGTCCGCCTAACGGAGCTAGTCCACATCTGCTTGTTTGCAAACCCATGTCGTATACCGCCATGAGTTTGACAGGGGATGTTGGAAAATATTAGTATTTTGATTTATTTGAATTTTGGTTTTCTAGGCTTAGCCCGTTAGCATTAGGATTTCGGTTTCTTATCTTTTAGGATTATGGTTAGTTTATTATAAATAGCATGCTTGTTATTCATTTGAGAGTAAGTTAGTCACAATGTAGCCTCCTAAGGTTATGTAGCCGTTTTGACATTTTCGTTTGTTTAATAATATTTCTATTAATTTGTAGTCTTAGTTATCACTCTAATATTCAATAGGAGAAAACAATCCAAAACCTTCTTCCTCTAATAAGTTCTTTCTTGAACAATGCAAAAACCTTTGAATTCACATATTATCTAAATGTTGATTTCAGAACTCAATTTTTAAAAAAATATATAAGTTGTAGTTTTTTTTCCACTTTTTCTTCGATCAAATATACGTTGCAAGTTTGAGAGATTCAAGGGCTTAAAATCTTAAAGAATCAAAACTGAAGAAAACCTAAACGATCAAATCAAAAACGTAAATATTCAAACAGAACAAAAGAAAGTAAGTACCTAATCTGACCTAATCTGATTCACCATTCTGAGAAGGGATCCCATCAATTAATGTGAGAAAGCTTTCTCACGTTTCAAAAGTGGGGAGGAAATTACTCCTCATCAAAAGATACGGTTAAAGACAATTTAGGTTATATAAATTTAATGATTGTAATAAACCCAATTAGCAGAGAGCACACATTTTATATGTGTGAACAATTTTTCTTAATAAGTGCATATTTTTTAATATTACATAATTATTGTTTTATTTCTTATGTACATATTGTGTATCAAAAATGAGGGTAAAATTAGAAAAATAAGTATATGATTGTCATTTTCTTAAAAAAAAGGTAAAATTGGAAAAATAGGGATATGATTGTCATTCTGTGAAAAGGTGTAAAATTACTATTTTACCCTAATTTTATCAATAATGTATATAAAAAATGAAGACAAAATTAAAAAAAAAAATAGGAAAAAATTTGACAAGAAGGTTCTTTTTATAGAATAGATATAAAAGCCACATCGGACAAAAGCATAGCAATTTAAATATTTAAATAAAAACATATTTACTCTAACAAGTGGGTTGCTGCAGGAAGCTATTCTTAAATTTGCAGGCGTAGTTCTGCAGCTGCTCATCCTCTCTGTTTTGTAGCTGGAGCGGGTTGGCTAGCAGCTGAGCTGGTAACAAAAAAAAAATAAAAAATCTAAGAAATGGATAACTGGCTGAAATTCGTGACGCTGTCAATCATGGTGCTGGTATGTGGTTGCTTAGAGTCCTACCACTTTGCTGTCCTAGTCTTCCTCCTTTTCTCTATCGGCCTTGTCTTTCGCCAAATGAGCATCTCGGTCCCCGATGAAGCCTCCTCTTCATCATCCTCCACCTCCTTGTCCTCCTCGTCGTCCATCTCGGTCCCCGATGAAGCCTCCTCTTCATCATCCTCCACCTCCTTGTCCTCCTCGTCATCCTTCTCGGTCCCCGATGAAGCCTCCTCTTCATCATCCTCCACCTCCTTGTCCTCCTCGTCGTTCTTCTCCTTCTCGAAAGGTTCGCTCTACGATGTGTTCTTAAACTTCAGAGGCAAAGACACACGTAAAAGCTTCACAAGCCACCTCCGTAAAGCATTAACAAATGCCGGAGTCAACGTCTTTTTTGACGAAGAAGAAATAAAAAGAGGAGAAGAATTAACTAACGTACTAGTGCGGGCAATCCAAGGTTCTAAGATGTCAATCGTCGTCTTCTCAAGCGGGTACGCGGACTCCAGCTGGTGCCTCGAGGAGCTGGTTCATATCATTGAGTGTAGAACAACGCTGGGACAAATGGTTTACCCGATATTCTATGACATTGATCCTTCGGATGTCAAGAAACAGACTGGTCGTGTTGCGCAATCGTTGCTGAAACATACAGATAAAAAGAAGGTAGCGAGGTGGAGAGCTGCTCTTACTCTTGCTGCAAATTTGGCTGGATGGCATCTCGAAAACAGGTATCTACTAAGTTCTTCTTTTATGAATTCAGGCTTTAACGTATCTTTATTTACTTTCGGTTTATAGATTCAATAAAACCTATGTTGCACCAACACTGGGAAACCCCAAAGTGTTCGGACACGGTTTTGACACGATCAAGACACGGCAGGGATCTTTTTGTAAATATAAAAACATTTTGGGACAATTCAATTTAAGAAAAAATAATGAAAATGGTTTGAAAACTTTGAGTTTTAACGATAAAGACAAAATAAATGATAAAGTGAATAGTACCAGTATTGACTTTTTAATGTAAAAATGTGATTTTTCGTTACAGTGAACAGTACTGGGAGCTTTTCGTTAAAGTTCCCTTCAATTATGAAAAACTTCATTATAATCCTTAATAAAGATGACCTTTTTACTAAAATCATAAGTAAGATTAAAATCTAATTTTAGTCTCTTGACATTAATCACCTCCTTATTAATTATATTTAGAAGTTTTAATTATTTCTCTTTTTCTTCCAAATTCTGATCTATTAATTATGTTACATTATCATTTTCATTTTCATTTTATTCAATATATTTTATTTTAAATATTTAGATAAATTAATTTTTATTGTACAATATATCGAGAAATACTTTGTCTTCTTCATTTAGGTATATTAAATTCAATATAATACATTTCAATGCATACATTTTGATACACACATTTCGGTACAAATACGTTGGTACATTAATTTAATATAATACATTTCGGTATTAACATTTATGTACATATATTTGGTATATACATTTAGGTACATTAATTTAGTATGATACAATTTAGTCATAACATTTCGGTGCACACATTTTGATACATTTGGGTGCATTAATTTAATATAATACATTTCAGTGCATACAATTCAGTATATACATTTCGATACAAATATTTCGGCACATACTCGGTACTAACATTTTAGGTACATTAATTGAGTCTTTCAAATTTAAAGAATGTTAAATCAAATGAATAATTAATGGGAAACATTAAATAAAATACACATTAATTAATTTGAATTAAGGACATATCAATGAACTATAATTAATATGTAGTATAACACCAGATTTTTATTAAATTTCAATATTTTTCAAAGATTAAAGTTAAAAAATCCTTTAATCTAAAATATTTTGGGGCATATTTGTAAATATCAAAAACTTATAACACCTAACATTTCGGGCAGTTATGTAAATATAAAAACTTATGTAATATTTATTATAAATTTATTAGAATTTACATGTCATGTCCTAGTTGTGTTCGTGTTCTTATCTTTTGAGATTTTTCGTGTAACCGTGTCCTGTTTCTGACATATCCATGCCCCTATCTGTGCAACATAAAATAAAATAAAGGAAAACCTTTCCCTTCTTCGGATCATGTTTATGCATACAACTGTGAATTCTTAGACCTCTCTTAATAAAATCGTACAATAAAGCTTAAGCTGTTAAGGCTACAGTAATCACGACAGGGAAGTCGCCGGCGAATGGCTGCGGAGGAAGGGGATGCTGGGTTTTGTTTGTTTGTGTTTCTTATTTAAATTTAAATTTAAATTTTAATTGACCTCTATGAAGCATTAACAAAGGCCGGAGTCAACGCCTTTATTGACGACGAAGAACTAAAAAGAGGAGAAAATATAACTACCGCCCTAGGGCGGGCAATCCAAGGTTCTAAGATCTCTCTCATCGTCTTCTCAAGACGGTACGCGGACTCCAGCTGGTGCCTCGAGGAGCTGGTTCATATCATGGAGTGTAGAACAACGCTGGGGCAAATAGTTATACCGATATTTTATAAAGTTGATCCTTCGCATGTCAGGAAACAGACCGGTAGTTTTGCGCAATCGTTTCTAAAACATACAGATAAAAAGAAGGTAGCGAGGTGGCGAGCTGCTCTTACTGAAGCTGCAAGTTTGGCTGGTTTTGTTGCAACTTGGGCTGGTTTTGTTCACGATAGCGGGTATCTACTAATTTCTTCTTTTATGCATTCAGGCTTTAACGGACCTCTATTTACTTGGTTTATAGATTGAATAAAACCTATGTTTTTTAGACTAAAATCATGAGTACCGTCAAAATTTAATTTTAGTCCATTGACATTAATCTCATTTATTAATAATATTTAAAGTTTTAATTATTATTTTCATTTCCTTCATCATAATATATTTCGTTTGTAAACATTAGATAAACTAATTTTTGTTATACAATATATCTCGATTCGGTATATTAAATTTAATATAATACATTTTGTTGTATACATTTTAATACACACATTTCACTACAAACATATCGATACATTAATTCAATATAATACATTTCGCTACTACCATTTCTATGCATACATTTCAATGCACATATTTAAGAACATTAATTTAATATAATACATTTTGGTGTATACAATTTGGTTCATGCATTTTGGTACATACATTTTAGGTACATTAATTGAGTTTTTTAAGTTTAAAGAATGTTGAATAAAATTAATAAATTTAAAAACTTTTTTTTGATAAAAAATAAATTAAAATGTGTATATTAATAAAATCAAATATTTAATGGGATACGTTGAATAAAATAAAATAATTAATTTTAATTAAGGACATATCAATTGACTATAATTAATATGTAGTTTAACACTAGGTTTTTATTAAATTTCAATTTTTTTTCAAGGATTAAAGTTAAAAAAACCCCTTAAATCTAAAATATTTTGGGGCATATTTGTAAATATTAGACTTTAATTGCCGTGTCCTAGTTGTGTTCGTGTTTTTATCTTTTGAGATTTTTTATGTTGCTGTGTGGCGTTTCGCCGTATCCGTGTCCGTATCTTTGCAACATAAAATAAAATAAAGGAAAACATTTCCCTTCTTCGGACCATGTTATGATACAACTGTGAATTCTTAGACCTCTCTTAATAAAATCGTACAATAAAGCTTAAACTGTTAAGGCTACACTAATCACAGCAGGGAAGTCGCCGGCGAATGGCTGCGGAGGGAAGGGGATGCTGCGTTTTGTTTGTTTGTGTTTCTTATTTAAATTTTAACTTAAATTTTAATTGATGTTTACTGAGTTTAAACAAAACATCTTAAAGAAAGTTGTCTTAAATTAAAAATCTCTAGTCATGGATGAATAATTTTGTGTATTAGTTCAATTTTAGTCTTATAGTTGTATAACAATCTTCGTTTTGCTTCTCAACTCGACTAATGCCAGGTCTGAAGCACGGTTTATCAGTGATGATTACTAGTGAAGTCATTCGGGTAAGAAGCTGAACAACACATACTTAGATGTAGCGCCTTACCAAGTTGGAATAGATTCTCGAATGCAAGATATCAGTAAATATTTAGGCGTCGGAGATTCAAATGATGTTCGCGTGATTGGAATTTCGGGCATGGGTGGAATAGGAAAAACAACGATTGCTAAAGCTGTTTATAACGAATTTTATGACAAGTTTGAGCATAAAAGTTTCCTTGAAAAAGTGAGGGAAAAGGAAGTAGAAAAATTGCAAAAAAACTTCTTTCAGATATCTTGCAAACGACCAAGACAAAGGTAAGCAGTGTTGCTGCAGGGACCGCCTTGGTAGGGGAAAGATTTCGACGCTTAAAAGTACTTGTCATATTTGATGATGTAGACGATGTGAAGCAGCTGCGCGAATTAGCTGGAAATCGCCACTCTTTTGGCCCGGGGAGCAGAATTATCATCACAACAAGAAACGAACATATGCTACAAGAATTTGCAGTTGATAAGATATATCCGGCGAAAGGAATGGAACAAGAAGAAGCTCTTGAGCTCCTAAGTTGGTATGCTTTCGAAAGTAAGTGTTGTCCTAGTGAATATCTTAGAGCTCGCAAGAGAAGTTGTCGATTACTGTGGAGGACTGCCATTGGCTCTTCAAGTTTTAGGATCTACCCTGTTCAAAAGAAGCATAGGAGAGTGGAAAAGTACATTGGATAAACTGGAAAAAATTCCTCCTGGAAAAAGTTCATGAACAACTGAAAATAAGCTACGACGGACTAAATGATGATTACGCGAGGGAGATATTCTGCGATATATCTTGTTTCTTTATTGGGATGGACAAAGAATGATGTCATGCAGATCTTGGATGGTTGTGGCTTTTCTGCAACGGCAGGAATCGAGGTCCTCCATGGAACGGTGCCTTGTAACTGTTAATAGAAAAAACAAGCTAATGATGCACGATTTGCTTCGGGACATGGGAAGAGAAATCGTGCGTGCAGAAAATCCTAAGTATCCTGAAAAACGGAGTAGGTTGTGGCGTCCTGAAGATGTAAAAGCTTTATTGATAGACAATTCTGTAAGTACTTTACCGAATTGAACTTTATGTTAAATGCGTAAGGAATAGAAGAGAATCATATATGTGTACGTAAGCAATCGAACTTTTTTGCATGCAAAACCTTCTCATATTTCGAGCCTGTTTTTGGTTAGCAGGGAACTGAAGAAATTGAAGGACTGTCTTTGAATTTGCCGAGTCTTGATGAAGGAGGGTAGTTTCAGCACTGAGGCATTTACAAATATGAAGAGACTCAGATTGCTCCAACTCAAGTACATTCAGCTCACAGGAGGATATCAATGTCTTTCCAAAAAATTAAAATGGTTGTGCTGGCGTGGATTCCCTCTAAAGTTCATACCAAAAGACTTGTGTCAACCAAATATAGTTGCTATTGACATGAGATATAGCAGCCTCAGACAAGTTCTTTGTGAAGAATCCGGGGTAAGTACCAAGTAACCTCAACCAAATTAATATTTTTTTTCCTTCTGGTACTGTGCAAAACATCATGCTCTCTTTATCTTCTTTTTGGATTTTGATTTTTAATTTGGTTTTGTCTAACAGTTGCTTGACAAGTTGAAGATTCTAAATCTCAGCCATTCCCATGACCTAACACGATCGCCGGACTTTTCAAAACTCCCAAATCTTGAGAAATTGATACTCAAAGGTTGTAAGAGATTGTCTAATGTTCACGAATCGATTGGAGATCTGAAGAGTCTTGCTTTGGTAAATTTGGAAGGCTGCGAAAATGCTTAAGGAATCTCCCCAGGACTTTTTATAAGTTGAAATCTGCTAAAATTCTTGTTCTTAAAGGTTGTTCAAGATTCAAAAACTTGTCTGAGGACTTGGGAAAAATGTCATCCTTGACAACCCTTGTTGCAGATGAG